AGAAAAGGAAGTCGTAATAGTAGCAAGTCGAGTTAGCACTAACACCCAAATGAACTCACTTTTACTTTGCCTTCAATAGGCTGAGTGACACACCAAGCTTGCGTTGTAAACCTCAAAACGGGCAACGGCCACAACATCCTGAAGTCGAAACGCCTACTCGAAACTATAACATTGGAAGCTTTGACTACAACGTCATCGTTCAGTCCGCTTTCCCGAGTTCTAGTTAGACACAAGAGGTTACAAATTGGGTCGACTGACCGTAAAAAAAAAGATAAGAAAAACGCTGTGCTATTGCATTTACATCGAAGTTGTTACTACATGTACAACTTTATCACAATTACACGATAAGTGGCTTAGAGCAACGCAGCAGCTTGTTGTGTTGTTCGGTAATTTATCGAGTTTAACTTCCCGCGAATTTGAAACCAAAAAAATAGACTAACAATTTGCAAAATATTGTGGTCGACTAAGTACGACATTTCCAGGAACGGGAGAAACCCACAACGCTGATATGGCGAAGAAGGACGAGAAGAAGCGAGAGCCCAGTAGGGGGGCGGCAAAAGAAGTGGGCGCGGCGCACGTCCAGTCGGTCGCTAACACAGATATGACGCTTATAAATTACGCCGTGATGGATATAAACTGATTTGATGTGTGTTGGACGTCGCTCCACATTGTGCCCGCGCGATAACGTTAGTCTGCCACACAGCTACACGAAGGACGACTCCTCCGTCGACGACTACGTCGACTTTCCGCAGTTACGTCAAGATGCTGTCCATGAAGATGGAGACGATGAAACGGCTACCACGCAGGACGCCACGGAGAGCACCACGGAGACTATCGCGAAGGACGAGGATGTCCCCGTCACACAGGACGCCGCGAAGGACGCCATGCAGGACGATAATGTCCCCGCCACACAGGATGACACGGCGGAGGCTACTACGCATGACGAAGATGTGGAAACACCCAGAGCGTTACTGTTGAGGTAGCAGCTGACTCGCCGGTCGCTACTGCTGAGAGCAACGTTGAGGTCAATACTGAGGATAACACTGAGGGCAACATGGTGACAACATGGATGGCAACATGGATGGCAACATGGAGAGCAACGTTTTGGGTAACGCCGCCGCAGCCACCCTAGCGGACTCCAATGATACGGAAAACAAAATCATCCGAATCAGGTACGAGTCGTCTACAATGTTATTGACATTTTCTAATTAGAATTATCGACTGCAGATGACCCAGATCCCGAGCCTCCAACCAAGCGGGTACGAGTATCCACTGAAGGGTCGGCTAGTCGACCACATCATCTCTGGCGTCGCCAAATCAAAAACGCGGACAACCGCAAGAAGATTGTGGAAACGCTAAGCCCAGTCGCCAACGACAAGCCGGGGCTACTGCAAAAGGTCTTCAACGCGTGGGATGAGTGTCAGAAAGTGCTTAAAGATATCGAAGCCGAGCACTTCCTTTGCTATCAAACTCGGAGCTCTGAGACAAGAGAGAAATACAACAGGTGAAATACACTATTCTGATATCGAGGTTTATGTTGTTGTTTCACTATGTCGTTTGCGTGTTGTTTGCTGCTATGTTGCTCGGTGTGCTGCTTAGGCTTCCTGGTGTTAGGAAGATACCTGATTATTTGACCCACAGCTTCAAACGCGTTTTGTGTACGCATGCTGCAGCCCCCCCCCCCCCCCGAGGGCGTGGCGCCGTGAACACGACTGCCGCTTTAGGGGATGTGAAGCGAGCTTTGTCGTACGTTCCGTCTACTCAGTTGAGTCCGGTAAGCCCTCGTGGAAAGTATGTATTGATGAGGACACAGAGGTCGTAAGATGCTGTTTTTACGCAGGTTTGTCGTTCTAACTATTTACTGCTCTAGATATCGATGCACAGCAACCCCACTACGAAGGTGATCTACGATTCGTATCGAATTGCGAAGTCGCTTTTGTCGCGCAAAGTTCGCCAAGAGCTCGGTCTACTCAACGAGGTGAAGCCCAGTACTGTTAATGTGAACGCTATTTGGTGGACAAGTTAGGTGGGTGCTTTTGGTAAAGGCGATTGACAGCAGTCGACCTTAAGAATTGCTGTACCTTCAAAGTTTTAATCGAGTTTAACAACATTTCGTTTACGTGCAGATATTACGGTTACACCTCAGCAGCCACGTAATATGCCACTGTTTCGTGAGCCATGTTCGCTGTATTTCGAGGCATCCTTGTCGTAGATGGTCGTGTACGTCAATAGCGGAAAACTTCGAAAAGAAATGTTCGACCGTTTGAGGTCGTTGTATTCTACGCTCGTACTGTAGCGTTTTAGCTGGACCACCGTCATATTTGAGTTTATGACGTCGCCGAGCGCTGTCCGTACCAGGAAGAGACGTAGCACGATTGAAAATAATGCGTTTTGGCTTGCGGTCGGCCCAACAGAGTGCGCACATTTGACTGGACTTTTGGAGTTTTTCTTTGTAGCATTTTGAATGAGCCGCGAGTAGGCCCAGTCAAAAATCAGTCTTTCATGTACTGTTTTGGATATTCTCGCGAGGCTGTCTTAATCATTCCCATAAAATACAGACCGCAAAGTGCCTCGAGCTGGACTAACGTTTTGACAGAAGAGAAGGCAATATTTGCAACAATGGTGCGCCCTGCCCCTTTGTACGGCTCCGACAGTAAGCACAATAGCCGTTTCCTCTCCGAAAAGAGCTTGATATGGCTTCTTTTTTGTCGCTCTGCTCCTAAACGAGCTCTAGACCCAATAGTACTCCTGAGTCACCGTGAGCTATAGCATTCAGCTCAGCACCAATATCCTCTGGCTTTATCGGGTGTGCTAGGTGGATACCGTCATGACAGTGCTTTGCTTCTCTACCTTGTCATGCACTCATACATTCGTCAATGCACATGCTCACCTGGTGAAACTACGCCACGTCGGCGGTCATTAAAGCTATTAACTAGAGCATGAATCGGCTTCCATGGGTCATCCGAGATCACGTCATCTGCAAGCAACAATGCACCCGAAATGGGATCAAATGTGTGCCGTGATACACCAAAACGTCCCCCAAAATTGGCAGGGGTGCCAACAAAACCCTCAGGGATGTCTTTTTCTCAGTAGGTTTGTAGGGGACCGCGTCTAGATTCCACTGCTATAGCTAGTCGGACTCCACGAAACTGAAACAAGTCCCCTTCAGCTATTGTACGTTGACGACGGGCCGTCAACTTATCGTTTGTGTGCTTGATCGTACTCTGAATTGTCGACCACGGATACATTAGAAAGAAGTACTTGATAAATGTTTTTCTACCTAATTGAAGGGTTGATGACCAACGGAATGCAGTCGTTCGCTTGCGTAGTAATGCGGCCGAGTCTATTAAAACGCTTGCAACTTCGGTTATGTGCGAGTACTTTTCCATCATCCGACATACCAGACGGTGCTACTTCGGAGGCTGCCGAAGTAGAATTCAACTCGACGCAGTCTTTATTTTCTTCTTCCACGCTGCCCAGTAAAAGTGACGTCAGTGATCCTTCGGGTGGCTGGTGTGGCTGTATTGGAGCGTTGAAGGCTTGCAAGGCCTCGATTGAGCAGGCTGAGACCATTTCGACTCTGCCGTCATCCCATTGTACATCGTACCAAGGCTGTCGTTTGCTGATGGCTTTCGATAGGACCACACCTCGCAAATGAGCTGTCGATTTGGTCTTTCCGCGTACTCGATCTCCCACAGCGTGTTTCGGCATGATGAAAGTTTCGTATGACGTCGAAAAAATTGCGCTGGGCTCCTCGTCTTCGGTGTTTTATTCTTAACTTCACAACTGAATGTGGAAACCTTGCTGAGGACGACGGCATATTTGTAGAAGTAAGTCCACCCGTGGGCTCAATGCGGAATGGGCGGGGCTATTGAGAAAGAAGAACACAACTAATTGGCTTCTGAAACAAGACGTAGCACGTTGTGTTTCGAAAGTCAACTAACTGTGTACTTCTCACTCAATAACCCCGCCCTCGTCCTCAATTTCTCAATGCTGCGTGTGGCCAAACATTGAGCTGCAACACTCCTCCAGCACAGCCAAGTAAGACATGACATACTTTGAGCTACGAATAGGAACCACCACCACGGCTGCAATGCGGGTGATTTCCTCCTTTTCGAGTGAGATCAGTGTAGCCAGCTCATCGTGCGCATTCAGCAGCTTCGCCGTGTGCTTGGCCAATTTTTCAAGCTTTTCCCCCATTAGGTCCATCTGCTGAACCCGGGACTGAAGCAGCTTTAGCAAAGCTTGACCTGATGAGCATGAAAAGTCTTCGCTTCACCACGGCTAGCTACATCTAGCTCTAGACACCCCGAAAGCGCTGGGTGACTAGCAATAGCGGTCTTGAGAAGGTTGGCGTGGCTGATGTCGTCTTCGCTCATTCTTGTCTCCTTAGAAAACAGCCGACTGTGGTCTACTAAGAAGCTCACAAAAGGGAACCAGGAACATTTTCGGTTCCCGTCATACAGCAATTATATATTACACCACGGACGTATTTTATTTAGCAAATGTTGCTCTCTGTGACTCTCCTTGCGACGATGTGGTCTGTTGCGTTGCTGTAGGAGCTGTTGTCTTGTCGTTGCCAAGCTGCAGTATAATAACGCCGTCCTATTTACATGCGATGCGGATGGGTCGGAGCGTTTCCCATCACTTTTTGTGGGAGGAAACAGCACATATCACTGTTATCATTCTTCAATCGATCTTTACAGAGCGGACCAAATCAATAGTTAAGAGCCGCTTGATAACAATATCCGTCATTTTAGAACTACTATTTAATAATGAGAGGACAAACATGTATGCTAGTTTTTCGTGAGTTTGGAGGGAATTACAATTGGGGATATCAATTTAGAGAGGATCGTCTGTAAAATCCAGAGCTGAACACTGTGTTTGTTCCCCAATATACGGTAGCCACACCACTTTTAGAAACCAATCAAAATGCTCGAATCTCCTCTCCAGTCAAATGGTTGCTTGACGTGCAAGAAAGTCGTTGCTATATTGCAAGCATGCCGAAACCAGCACCTTCAGCTCCTTCCCAGGCCCCGGCCGACGCCAACAATGAGACAGCCGAGGGATTTAGCGGCTCCGCATCTTTTGCAGAGCTCGGGGTCGATTCGGCTATCTGCGAGGCCATTGAGGCCGTGGGCTGGTCAGCGCCCAGCAAGATTCAACAGCAAGCCATTCCGCACGGATTGGCAGGCAAAGACATCATTGGCCTGGCCGAGACGGGCTCTGGCAAGACTGGCGCCTTCGTTATTCCGATCCTGCAGAGTCTTCTACATAATCCACAGCGTTTGTATGCGCTGGTGCTGGCCCCGACGCGAGAACTGGCGTATCAGATCGGCGAACAGTTCGAAGCGCTGGGTGCGTCCATTGGCCTTAAATGTGCCTGCGTCGTGGGCGGTATCGACATGATGCAGCAGCAAGTAGCGCTGGCCCGCAAGCCTCACGTGGTGATCGCCACGCCCGGCCGATTGGTGGACCACTTGGAGAACACTAAGGGCTTCAGTCTACGTACTATGAAGTTCCTCGTACTGGACGAAGCCGACCGTATGCTCAGTATGGACTTTGAAGAGGAAATTAACCAGATTGTGCAGCTCATGCCGGCCGACCGCAACACTTATCTCTTCAGTGCCACCATGACGTCCAAAGTGCGCAAGTTGCAGCGCGCGTCACTCAAAGACCCCGTCAAGGTGGAGATCACCCACAAGTTCGCCACGCCCGAGACTCTGAAGCAGCACTATCTGTTCATCCCGGCCAAGTTCAAGGACTGCTACCTGGCCTACGTACTGAACGAGGTGGCTGGTCAATCCGTGTTGATCTTTGCCAGTACGTGCAATGGAACACAGAAGGTGACGCTCATGTTGAGAAATTTAGGCTTCCAGGCCATCTGTCTCCATGGCCAGATGCCTCAGCCCAGTCGTCTTGGAGCTCTGAATAAATTCAAGGCCAAGGCGAGGAATGTGCTCGTGTGTACCGACGTGGCCTCGCGTGGTCTGGATATCCCGAGCGTCGATGTGGTCATCAACTACGATATCCCGACGCACGGCAAAGACTACATTCACCGCGTTGGCCGAACGGCCCGAGCTGGCCGAGCTGGCGTGGCCATCTCGTTCGTGACGCAGTACGACGTGGAACTGTATCAGCGTATAGAGCACCTGCTGGGCACCAAGTTGGACGCGTACTCGTGCGAAGAGGAGACGGTTCTCGTCATTACAGAGCGTGTGAACGAGGCACAACGTATCGCCACCATCGAGATGAAGGAGGCAGCTGCGAACGGCACAGGTATCAAGCGTGGACGCTACGCGCGCGATGATAACGAGGGCGACGACGAGGAAGGAGGTGAGAAGAAATACAAATCTGCTGCCCGGGTGCAAAAGGGAGGCCGTGGTGGCTGTGGAGGTGGCCGTGGAGGTGGCCGTGGAGGTGGCCGTGGAGGTGGCCGTGGAGGTGGCCGCGGCCGTAGTCGTGGTCGAGGCATGCGGAATTAGACAACAGAAGAAGGAAAGAAAAAAATGTGTTTAGATATTTTTTTTCAGATCGGTACTGTGCGTTCAAGGTGCTGATCTCCCTATTTTATTTTTTCATCGGATCTCGCTGCCGACACTCAAGGGCAGCATCAAGTCCGTTCCAAGGCGACTGCCACGTTGGGCTTTGGTGCTTGGGAAGGCGTTCCAGAAGCGCAGAGTTTCGTCTCCTGCTCCAGTGACGATCGTCTGGCCGTCCGGTGACATGGCGAGATACAGCACACGGAACGTGTGGCCCGTGAGTGTGGCCAACTTGGTCATAGTCGGATACTTCCACACGATGATCTGGTTCAACGAGTAGCCGTGCGTACTCACGACTTCATTGGCATTCTTTGACCACATGAGGTTGCACACCTGTGAGCCTGTGTCTACGAAAGGCAAAGCCGTCAACGTCTGCGTGTTCCAGAAGCGGATACACCTGTCAGCCGTGCCGCCACCAGAAGCCAATAGTCCGTGCTGGTGAGGCGACCATGCGATAGCCTTCACTGCCGCCGAGTGCTCGTTAAAACGCGCCAGAGGCATGGTCGTATCACCGCGTAGACTGGAAGACACGGACTGCACGTTCCAAATGAGCAGTTTGTTGTCGTTGCCTCCAGAAGCCAACTGCCGACCGTCAAAGGACCACTTCAAGCCGCAGACTTCTTGCTTGTGGCCGGCCAGTTTGTTTTGGAAAGGCTCCTGTGTTCGCAGGTCGCGCATGAGAATGGAGCGATCTCGACTACCCGATGCCAACGACTGGCCGCTCCAGCCTAAAGTCCCCACACGAGCTAGATGCCCACTGCATAAGTAACCAATTTCAGATTAACAAACGGGCATATTTGTATCAACGGACCAGTGCTTCGTACGTCATGGTGCGCGTCTTTTTGCCAGCGCTGACGTCCCAGATCTGCACTTCACCGCTGTTGGTTCCCACAGATAAATGTGTGCCCTGCAAAGATCAGAGAAGAAAACAAATGAAAACAATGAGCTCTTGTTCGAGCGAAATGACGGCAGACGGACCCGTTGACTCCAACTGACGGACGTGACGGAATCATTCGGCCCAAGATCGCAGAGCATAGTCACCTTACTGGTGCAAGCGCTCCAGAGATAGACACACGAGCTGAGACCCACGGCGACGATATTCGTAGCGGACCAGTCCACGAGATTCAGGTAGAAATCATCCTGCAGCGACGGCGCATCCAGCACCTTGAACGGCGTGCGTGCAATCCGTCGACGACCGTTTTCTCCGTCCTGTAGGCCGGTACCAAGAAAACGATGCGAGGGATCTGTCAGCCCGAAGAAAGGAATAAAGGGCTTCACGTCCCCATACGGAGTTTGCCGCGGGGCTTTGAAGCGTAAAATGTTGCTCGATGAAGAGCCGCTTGGTCGTATGCACGTGCTGCCATTGTACATTCGTACACACAAAGAGGATCGTGGGTCATAAACTGCACTCACACCGTCGTGACTGGACGCACTCGAAGCAGCTGAGGATTGACCGCCGCCGAAATTCGTACGAGTAGGTGAGTGCAGTCCGAGCAGCTCTCGCTTCAGCATCATCGAATACGGCGACGGTGTTCCAACCTGGTTTTTCGAATTGCTATCCACGCTTCCACCAGCGCCTCCCCCAGGCGTCGAAGTTGACAAGGAGGCACCCTGAGGTCTACTAGCTCCATTGTCATGGCTCTGGTTGCTACACTGACGAGATGAATCTGCTGTAAGTCCAAACCCAGTGTCTAGCTTCGTGGTAAGCCGTGACGGGATAAAACGATCACTGTAAATGTACTTAGATCTGCTTTGACAAACATCGAAAGAGTTCCGCGTCAATTGACAGCGCAGCATCGAGAAGCGCGATATGCCTTACCGTTTAATAGTCCGGTGAGTAGGCGTCTTGCCATTCTCACCTGAGAACCCAGGCAAGCGTGACTCGTACTGGTGATGGAGAGGCTGAGCCGTCGTGCCCTGGAAAACAACGCAGTCCCGACCCATACTATCCACCTGACCGCTCCCGCTTAGCCGCCTCTTCCTGCTTGAAATACAGCCAGACTTTACACGAAGGCTGGCAAGAGGACCCAATCCCTTTGCGCTGCGTACGGACGAGCTGATCACGAAGTGCGAAGCATTTTTCTCGATACAGACCATGCCGAAAATATCGCTTTGGGATTGGGCTTGGGCGGACAATTTGGATCTGGAGAATGGCTCAAAGCCGCAGAAATGCTCAGACAAAGTACGCAGTCGAGGTAGGTGCCACACAACGGCTCCACACCGGTCAATCGTCCTCTCAACTGCTCAGAAACCAAAAAAGAGCAAGTGGGGCACAGTTCGTCTCAATCAACGAAAAATGCGATCCCGTGGACTACTTTGGCGTCTTGCTGTCGATTCGGCTGTGCGTGGCCAATATGCCGGTGGAAGGCACCAACTTCTCTGAAAATAAAGCAGCGAAACAACCCTTGAAACCGAAAGCTGCCTTTTCATTTTTCATCCAGGCCAGAGGCACTAGCAGGAAGCGCGACATGCCGATACCCATCACTCTACGTACTCCATAAGCTGTCTATCAGACGGGTGACCGTAGGTTCCCCACTTCCACTCATTGTCTTCACAGCCAAGAGCTAGATCGGCCACCTCGCCCGTATCTTATGGTATCGTTTCACTATAAAATCTCAAGAGCTTTATTAATTATCAAAGGTGCATTGAAGATCACGCGACCCATAGCTTCTCCAAGCCAACGCCGTACGCTCCGAGCTACCGCTGCAGCTTCTTGCGGAAGGACGTGATGGCCTTCTGGTCGATCTTGTCGTTAATCTCCTCTCCAGTCTGTCCGCGTCCACACAGGTCCGCGTACAGCAGACACGCCACGCCACAGTCGAACCCACTGATCTGCTGCTTGTTCGTGATGGCACTTACCGTGTGCCCCAGCCAGCATTTGTGCTGCGGGTAGCACACATCCAGCCACTCGATCACCGCTCGAGGCACTGATCGGTACGAGATCCCGGACCTCGACGCTAGTCTCCCCATCGGTTCGAACAGCTGCAGCTTCGGTGTGGGGCTTAGCTGCACTCGGAACAAGTTCCAATGAATACCATCAACGTTCACAACGAACACCAACGGCGTGTCACTGCCATAGTCCACGAGGCGTCCGTGAACGTCTCGCACTTGGTAGTCTCTCTTGGTTCTGAAGCTGCGTCGCCAAGGAGATCCCGTGGTTTGCATTGCCGCCTCCAGATGGAAGTGATAGAAGGCGGTAGGCATAAAATGCACGGCCGGATACTCGTTGGCGAACTTCCAGAGCATCAGGTCGATGAATGTGCCCGTGATCCAATTGGACTCGTCCACAATATCTTCAGGCCCAAAAGCGGATTGCAGTAGTCGAAATCGTCGTCTTTTGGCCTCCTCGGAGTCCTCGTCGCCGCTCGAAAGTCGGCGTTTCTTGACGCTCATTGCACTACGAGCAGTGCGTAAAGGGGTGCGATCTCGACGACGTGGCAGTGGGAGCTCCAGAAGGTCCGATCTTGGGTCTTTCTGAAGCGAGGAAGTTACAGTTTGCAATGAAATCGTCGCATCTGTAGTTGGTGACGACGGAGCGAATGGAGACTGGCATATAGCGGGGCTGGACACGAGTCGCGAGCGTAGCTGCATGATGCGACGCGGCGGATAATGGAGAACTTGCGATATTTTTCTGAAGAATGAAAATATTGATGTGGTGCACATCATGCCAAAACGAAAGTGAACTGACCAATCAGATTGCCTGCAGGGTGCGTAAACGGCAGAGGCCTATCATTCTTCCACTGTCGCCGAGTTTCACGCCTTGCTACGCCCCGAAATTCCTCGTCACTGTGTGATCGTTGGAGCGCCGTTTAAAAGCCACATCACAGCTTGACGTCCTGCGTACAATTCGCATTCCTGTTTTCATTGCAACGTAGTTGCTGTCCCAAGATCAGGCTGTAACTCTGAAAGATGTCCAACGCCACGTACGAATCGGAGACGGCTGTCGAGGCCTCACAGATTCATGCACTCAAGCAGCGCGTGCGTCACCGCAGCATAGGCGACGGCAAGTCCACCTACTTTGGCAAGTACGTGTCACAGGAGGGCTCAGAGAAGCTGCGCACGTACGAATATCATGGAGCCGACAACTCGCTGGTGTACAAACACGTGCTGACCCCCATGAACAACTTTCTGGTGAAACTTCTACCTCTCTGGTTGGCGCCCAACCTCATCACTCTTATTGGGCTGATTCTTGTGGGCGGTTCGCACACACTGTTCGTGTTCCTGTGCCCGTTTCTCGTGGGAGACGCACCCTGGTGGGCCATGGTGGTCGCGGCGCTTGCACTCTTCACATACCAGACGCTCGACAATTTAGACGGCAAGCAGGCAAGACGAACCAAGTCGTCATCGCCTCTGGGTCTGCTATTCGACCACGGATGTGATGCTTTGAATGTGTCAGTGGGCACAATGACGATGGCCAGTATTCTGCAAATGGGGACGACATGGAGGACGCTTGGATTCGTGCTGAGTGGCCATTTCGTATTCATCTTTGCCACGTGGGAAGAGTGAGTGGATTACAGCTGTAAGGGTGTTGTTCCTTCTCGTGTTAAAGCTGATAATTGCTGGCTGGTGCAGGTATTACTCTGGATCACTGGAGCTCCCACTCATCAACGGACCGACGGAAGGAATTCTCATCGGGATCGCATTGAAGTTGGTCACTGCGGTGGTTGGGGTTGGCTTCTGGAACCAGGAAATGATTGAAGGCGTGCAGAACAACTCGCTATTTGTCATCGTGACGATGATCAGCTCGTGTTTCACGCTTCTGGTTAAGTACGTTGGAGGCTTAATTTTCTGCATTCCTGCAGTGCGTTTTGCTAACCTCTCAATGTTTTGTTTTATCACTAGTGTGAGGAATGCGCTCCATGCTGTGCGCTTGAATCAGGACTCGGTTCTTGTGGCCTTCACGCGTCTCCTGCCGTTCGTCGTTATTAACACGCTCGCTGGACTTTGGGCTTTGTACTCGCCCTCTGACATCTTTTCGACGCATCCGCGTATGTTCTTGTGGATGCTCGGGCTGCTAAACAGCAAGTTGGTGGTACGTTTCACGACCGATGCAAGTGTTATTTCGAAGCCTTAGTAGCTTACTAATCTCTGCGTGTGGCTGTGTGGTGATAGCTACACTTGATGTTGGCTCACTTGTGCGGCGAGGAATATCATCCGTTCCGCAAGACGCTGGTGCCGATCTTCTACGTGGCCGGACACTGCGCCTTCTGCATGGTGGAAGGCATTTACGACGCTATCAACGAGGAACTTATCGTGCGCGAATTCTTCTTCCTCTCCCTCGCAGCGTACGTGCACATCGTCATCACCGTCGTGTGGGAGGTCAAGAACGTACTGGGTGTCTCGGTATTTACGATCCCGCACAGCTCAAAATTCAAGCTCAAGACCAACAGCAAGCCAGCAGCAAAGTCATCGTGATTTGTGGGCCACGCTGTTGGTTAGCGCTGTAATCCTACGCCTTCCATAAAGCCCAGGCGAACAATACACGTAGGAGCGAGCATGGAACATAATTTTTTCTTTATATGAAACACTAAATAGCCCTAATGATACTTTCCCCCAGGCGTCATTCTGTCGTGGTAAAAATTCCAGTATCCCTGGTAGCGAGGATCAGTGACTTCTTGTGGTTTTTTGTTCGTAAAAATCCACCAATTGTACTTTGCTAGTCTCTTGATTTTGTTGCCCAATCTTTTGGCCAAACTGGGAATCGAAAATGCTCTGTCCTCGTTGTCTTCATCGGTTTTGCTCGTCTTCCTCAAGAAGCGCTTGGCAGGAGCGTCCTTTGCGCTATTAACGTGGAGCTTATGATTTCCTTGAGGGATGACGAGAGAGGTGGTCTGCGTAGTCTTGAAGGTCGAAGCAGCTTCGCTACAAGTGGCGAAGTAAATGACCACTCCTAACAGGAAGAGGCAGCACTTATGCATGGTCCGTCTTATTTTAGTCTTGGAGAGAGCGAATTGTAGAGTGAACGGACCAGACCTGATCGCCATAGGGAGTCAGATCGCAGTTGCAATTCAGGATGTGATTACTGTCGACTAGGGATGGGGACGTAAGAAAACGTAAACTTGACATCCACAAAAAAGCTAGACGTAAAGTTAACGTTTTCAAGACGTCACGTACGATTTGAAATCTGTTGGTTGAGACTTTGGACCAGAGCCTCTGACTACCCACTATCGGTGCAGCAGAACCTGCAGCAAATTGACCGGGACTACTGCTTGATCAACCAGCCACCATGGAAGAAGACACACCTCCACCATCGTCACCACCTCCACTTCCGGTGTTCAAGATGCCACGTGTTCACAAGCAAGAATACTGGTCATTCGTTCGCCTCGTAGCACCCAGCACAGAGATGCCACCCGGCCAAACGGCGTGGAAAATTAAGGATGCAGAATTAGCCTACTGTCTTAAGTGCAAAACGACGTTTAAGTATAGATCCGGAAGTAGTGCAAGTATTCGCAAGCACATGAACCATGAACATCCCCACGAACTCGGAAGTGTTGGCCGGGAAGCGGCCGTTAAGCGTGTGAAGAATGCGCTCGCCTCAAAGCGGAAAATCAGTGCAGTGATCTTCTCTCCAACAAAGAGAACCAAGAAGATCAACCCAGCTGAAGAAGAGATGGCTACTCGAGCGCTGATTGAATGGATTGCAAAGTGTTTGCGCCCTTTAAGCATTGTCGAAGACGAAGAACTAAGATTTTTTATCACTTTAGTTCAGACTATGCATGGGATCTACGAATTACCTTCGCGCAGAACAATTACGGAGCGGATGCAAGCCCATGCACAGCAACTGCGATCTCTGTTAAAGGAAAAAATTGCTGAGGAAGTTGATTTTTACTCTCTCACGACGGATATGTGGACCTCACGAACAACGGACAGCTACATCGCGTTAACAATTCATTTCATGACGGATTTTTTTGAATTGAGAAGCTATACTTTAGAGGTTGCTAGTTTTTGTGGCAAGCATACTGGAGTTCGAATTCGAAAAAAACTTCGTGACCTCATGTACACCTGGGGGTTAGATATCTCTCGTGTCTCTAAAGTTGTTCGAGACAATGGAGCAAATATCGTAAAAGCTTGTCACGAACTGGGCGTGGATCATTTCGGTTGCATGGCATATTCTCTACATTTAGTTGTGTCAGGAGCTCTAGCTAAAACTAAGGCTGAAGTGATGGACGAGTCGAATGGCGACGTCGATGAGCAAGAAGGCGGAGCTGTTGATGAACTAGCCGAGGTTGATGACGGCGAAGATCATTGGGTAGAGGATCCATCTATGGAATTGGAGGCTATTGCGCTCTTAGAGAATGAACTAGTTGGCTTAGAAACGTACGTAGCGGCAAATTCTGTACGACAAGAGGCGTTGGGAGTCGAAATGCTGGATGTAGCTGACGACTCTTTAGATGAAGGGCTTTTGAACGGATGCATGAGTGCTAATGCAGCGAAGACAATTTTGAAAGCGATGAAGCAGGCAATGTGTGAGTCTCGAAAGGATATATCTAGCTTTCGCAAGATGGTTACCTATTTCAACAAAAGGTTAAAAGGAAAAGGCAAGTTAAAATCTCTGCAAAACCTGGCAATCCCGCTCACGGTTATTAAGGATGTGGCAACGAGGTGGAATTCTACGCATCATATGATCCGGAGACTGCTGCAGCTTCGACCCGCTATTCAGGACTTTTTTGCGTACATGCAAACTTCGAAAGGTAAAGAAGATTTTAGCGACGCAAAATTGGCAAGACCTACCAGTGAAATGTGGTTCCATTTGCAGTGCTTGGACAAACTGCTTGTGCATTTCGAACTAGTGACAAAGACGCTATCGGGGGATACGTATCCCACGATAACACTGGAATTCCCGTGTATACGTCTTCTGGAAAAGAGACTGATGAGCAAAAATATTTTTGCTAAGGTATCTTCTGCTCATGCGGGGGAGCTTTACTATGGAATAGTGATGAAGAGAATGCATCTCGTTCGTCGGTTGTTCCTTTTCCTACTTCGAAAGCGTTTTCAAATGCTTCCCGTTGATGTCAAGTACTGCTGTCTGCTCGATCCGCAATTTGCAAATGGCGAAATATTTACTACTGCAGAAAAGGAGGAAGGGCATGCATTTTTGCTGAATGAAGCAATGCGCTTTGCTGGTGTTAGCATCTCTGACGCCAATTTTGCTTCAAGTACCGACGAGAATAGTGACGACGAAGAAGAATTTCTCAATGATCTGTTTGAAGGAAAGCGAGCACCAGAGCCTGAGAGGCAAACGCAATTGTCGTTGCGTGATCAGGTAAAAGATGAGGTGGATCGGTACTTCGAGAAAGCTCGGCACAAGGCTCGTGAAGCGTCAAATAATTAGAAAAGGCGGAAACTGGACGGCGGTCTACAATGGTGGCGCGAAAATGCCGAAGCATTTCCCTATTTGGCCCCAGTCGCGAGAAAAACCTTTGGGATAGTAGCTATTTCGGTTTCCTCCGAGCGTTGCTTCTCGTGGACTGGAAATGCTATCACTGCGCAGCGCAACCGTCTATCCTGTCCTAATGTAAGGGACTTATTTTTCCGCACAGAAACACGGAGAATGAGAGCTCAAACGAAGCAAAAAGAACATAAACAATCACATTTGCCTTACAAATATTGCAGTATCATCTTTTCCTTGCGCTTTATTAAAACCTCGTACGCTAATTACCACAAGGTCTTCCATCACTGTAGCTCGTGGAGAGGGTGAAGGTGGCCGTCGCAACCAAGCGGCCTTCTTGATGCTTCCCTGTGGTGAACACGACAAGATTGAGAAAATCGCCGTTGAAATTGGCTTCCGCGTGCCATCCAGTACGCAGAGACGTTCGCTCCACTAATTAGCTGCAGACTTTTGGTATTCTGAATTGAATCTTTATCACTGTCGATCAAATCCACAACCGCTGCTAAGATAAAAAACCACATTTTAACAAATCAACGTCTTGTTCTCGTCGACCACGGCTGCTCCGAAACAATCCACGCGATCCCTTATTCACCAGCAAAATTATCCATATTTGCCAGCAACAGCAAAGATGTGAGCAATCAAACTGGCAGGAGGAGCTCCGTCGGCAGCGACGAGGTTTCCTGCGTCTTAGCATCATGTTCTTCCACACCAAATTGGCCATTTGTCTCCACGGCGCTGCCACGCGAGCCGCAGCACCTGTGTGCTCACTTGAACCTTTTATTTGTTTGCGTCATCCGTTGAGTCTTGAGAATACAGCGACAGCCGCCAGCACATCAGCAATAATAACCGCTGCAGTAATTAGGATCGTATTAGCGGACGAAATACCTCCGTCGCACTCGTTCTGGTACGTGAAGACACTGTCAAACAGCTCTTGGCACGTCGTGACCACCGTCGACGTCGTGTTGCAAGCCTGGGGAGACGCCACCGCAGCGCAGCACGAGTTAAACGCAGAACACGTCATCTTGGACCACATGACTCGACACACTGATGCTCCATTGTACTCGCTGCTGTCTGAGTGATGCAGGTTCTTCTGCTGCTTCGTCCAAATAAAGTGTACCTGTGAAATAGCATTGATTAACGAAAGACCTATCATAATGAATGACGTTCCCTTTACGTAAGAAAAAACGCGAACGGGAACTTTTTGACGGGAACGGGAACCACCAAATCTCTACGTTAACTTCGTTTACGTCCCCATCCCTACTGTCGACATCAGGAGTGGGTAGAGTCTACCGTAGACACTGCTAAAATGTACTACCTCTGGTCCGAAATGATGGATAGTATGGTGTATTTACCATCCTGTAGCATACAATCATATTATGAGAAATTCAACCGAGCGGTCTCCCATAGGAAGTTCGTGCACTCGCGCGATGCATTTCGACCTGTCCTTCCTCTTTCTATTGGAGGTTTTCTTGATGCGACGTTGCCACTCCCCTCTTTCTACCCCTGCGGTGACGCTGATGCAATAGCGGGTCCAGATTTTGCCTATGTGGACGGACTGCGCTTAAAGTCTCTGGTAACGTCCGCCTTTGCTCCATGGGGTAGATCTCCGTCAATACTGAGTCTTAGAAGCTCGTTGATGATGCAACGGCGATGACAATCGGTCAGGTTGGCCAAAGAGAAGTCGGGGAGCACGGATAGCGCGTAGTGCTAGCTGAGCGGGTACTAGAAAAATGAGGAAGAGGGTGACCGTCTATTTAAATAGATGTAGCTCGGCCCCCAGTACGCTTTCAGCGCCAGTTAAACCACCAGCCAATAGCTGGCGAATACGCGCTCCTGCTGGACCAATTAGATTTTGATAAGAATTGCTGAACTTGTTTTTAAACTACATTTAAGTAAAACTATCCATCATTTCGGACCAGAGGTAGTATGAGCTAGCCCAACTAAAAAATAGACTTACCGGAATTTACGTGTTTTCTGCAACCGTGTAAAAAGTACCTTTCAAGTCAAAACTGTAAGAGCGGCGGAAGGCGTAAAATCTCGCACAAGATACTCCTGTCCATTTGAAGCAATAGCGCGCTTTAACTGGGACACTGTTTTGATGCCAAACTGGTTAATTTTGTTGGTGCTGCAGACTTTTTACGAGCCACTGGTTGCAAAAAATTGATCGGTTGCAAAAATACCGTTAATTCCGGTACCTTCTCACTGCAAGCGGAAGCAAGATTTCATGTTTGGGGGGGGGTTCCACTGTGGTGTCACCTTGTATACCGCTCACTCTAATTAGTCATGCCATGACTAATTATGGTGTTTCAGAATTTTGAAAATTAGCTGCCCGTTATTTAAAAACTACTCGTTCGTATTTCAAATCAAACTTACTATGATAAAGTAATTGCCGCGATCTACCCAAAACAGGTGCTTTTGTTTAGAATTTATGAGCCTTCTAAAATATCTAAAGCGCGAATGCACGACTAATTTCGAAGCACGACTAATTAGAATGAACGGTGTTGCGGTTTTACAGTGGAGAAACGTTAT